TATCCAATACCCTCCCCTCCACCTGCACGATATCAGAATAGGCGATCATCAAATGGTCATAGCAGAAATAATGTGTATGGATATGCTGGTACAAATGGAATAGGCCCTGCTCCTTGTCCACCAGGTTATTTAATTATGAGGCCATATAGTCAAATTGATGATTCAAATCGAGCTCGTGGAACTGGCACATACTTCCCTAACCCAGTATGTTCCTCCTTTCATGATCTTATGTTCATATTATTAAGCGTGTTATGCACATAGAATTCCTTGAGCTTTGTGAACCATCTAAGAGTCTAGGTTTGGCACAAGTGGTAGATAATACACCTTCTATATAACTCAAATTGCTAAGGAAGATGCACATTTGTGAATAGTATATCCTTATTCTTTCTAACAAGTACAACTTTAAACCTCATTTTGTGTGAACTTTTGGCACTTTTTTTCACATACTATGCATATCAATGCATGATTCAATAATTTACTATTCCCTCTGACCCAAAATATAACAACTTTTGTCCAGATTCGTAGTACTAGGATGTGTCCCATCCGTTCAAAAGTTGCTATATTTTGTGAGAATTTTTCATTGTTGGATTTGGCCATACTATAGAATATAGTATAGAGCATACCCCCATTAGTTTTATGTTTCTGCTGCAGAGCTTTTTTCATTTTGCAGGGTTAGCCATTATATTTGTGTCATTTTGAGGTGCTGCCTTGTGTTTTGCTGACTTTGTTCACCTTGTTCGATTTGTAGAACTTGTCCAAAGACAGATCACCTTCTGGACGAGGCGGAAGGGGAAAAACTCATTTCCTGCCACATAACCATCAAAGACCACACCACTACGGTAGAGCTGATATGTCAGCAGATTTGACTCCTTCGGAGGAATTGAGACATATTTATGATCCTGATGCAAATGACTTGGGAATCCCCTCTTCACTGCGCATATCAATACCTTCTCCATCTTCGGAAGCTCCAAGGGAAATTGTGCATGGCAATGGTTTTATTCAGCCTCCAGCTAAGAAACTTGAGTTTGGGACCTTGGGAGCATTGCCTTTGGAAGTTACATCCCAAGAGCTTGGTATTAACAGATTGAATACTGCTTCCGACAGCCAACCTTCAGCGTCTGCAAGCCCTATGTCTCTGGCAAATAATCCTGGAATTAGTTCTAATCAAATGAGGTAAGTATGCTTCCTTTTTTTAGCTGTCAAAGTCAACAACGTGTCAACGTCAAGTGTTTATCAGAGTCATGCCATAACTAATAATTTCCTAAAGAGAAATTGCGGTCCACATGCATTCTCCAAAAAAATATGGTATGGCAATCATCAGTATTTTCAATCTAAACATGAAAAGCATTATTGAAAATGAAAATGCTCTTTTCCCCTCTTTTCCTTATTACCTCATTCACCTTGTAACTTAACCTATTCAGTTCTAATGAATTTTTAAGAAATTATGTTGCATAATTCCTCATTAAACAATTTACAGGAATGCTCAGCCATATCATCTCAAGGACAACGGTGATTTCCCACCGCTATCTAGTTGATGCCATATAGTTCATTGCATATCAGAGACAACTTGGTCCAAGAAAGATACTGATAAATGGTGCGAGCGCTTGGTGCAACAATAGCAGGGGTTGTTCCGCAAGACAAACATCATCCATCATGTACATCCTATCATTAACTTCACATTCTCCTATCTTCAATTCACCCTTGCTGTTGCTTTCCAAAAAAGAAAAAAAAAAAGCCCAGAAGGCTGATGCATCGCAGCTTGCTCTGCCATAACATTCCCTGCAAAGGAAATATGGAGGAAAGATAGAAGCACAATGTAGCTACTTATGTTATCTTCACCTTTGCCCCCTTGAAGAGGGAACAAGTGTGGTGAAGTCAAGAAATGCTAGAAAGAGGTGAGCTGTGTCTTGCTCTGTTGTTTTGACCTCATGAGCATTCCAGTTACTGGAGGGCTCATTGAGTGTGCTCTGTTTTGGTTTGGAGAGGCCTTCTGTTGAAAGGCCCCACTGTTTGAAGTAACATTTGCTGCCTCAAGCAATGGGTAGTTATAGGGGATAGATATGTACGAAACTTTCACTAGATTTACTGTCTTCATAGAAGCAGTTTAGTTAGTCTATACTAGCTCAGAGTAAAAATGATCCTTTTACTTTGCCTGTTGTGCTTCACATGTCTTTTTTTTTTTGTAACTAATTTGACTTGTAACATAGTTTTGCTCTGCTGTTGTTAGCTCGGCTCCAGGTTAAGAGAAAGGGGTATGATTTTGAGTAACACAACCATGATTGCTATTTACGTTTTGATTAGCATGGTTTTGCTCTTCTGTTAAATCGGAGTAGCCATTTAGCAAGTTTTTCATAGCTCCATGTCAGTAAGATCCCAATGTAGTGATGAGATGGCAAAGTCTTGAGATGTTCAGTCGCCACGTAAGCAAACCAAGGTGGTTTTGGTTTGAATGGGGTATCTTGAGAAGTTTGAGGTCGTGAAATGTACGCTTTTGTAGTTTAAGGCCGATTTCTAATATTTTTCAAGAGCTTAGGTAGTAAAGCAGACTAAAGTTGAAGTCATGTCGCTTTCAAGATGGGAAACTTCAAACTCTCGATGGAAATACAATTAGACGAATCCTGAACCCCATCTTGATAAAAGATAAGACTGTCAAAGCAGGGCAGTACTCAAGGACATGTTTGGAGTTTTTGATTGGATGATTAGCCGAAAAAATTAATTACCGCTAGTCACAGACGCTATTTCTGTTATATGATTTCACACTAGATGCCACTCTACGTCGTAACAATCTTACAATTATTTCTATAAAATATTTCTGATGGTAGCATTAAACTACATGAATTATTGTATTGATACCCAATTATATCACTTCTTATATTTTGCTTTGGTGGCTGGGAAATAAATAGATTTGGCAGATCAATTATTGTAGTCAACTTCAGAAAGCTGAAGAAGTCAAAGCTCAGCTCGCTAATGTGTGGTCCTTCGTTCTTACTTTAGGGTATTAATTTGGGTTGACAAATACTCCTACTAGAGTTTAAGGGCAGGTTACTTACCCTTTGTCTAAGGGTGTGTTTAGTTCACGTTAAAATTAGAAGTTTGGTTGAAATTGGAACGATGTGACGGAAAAGTTGGAAGTTTGTGTGTGTAGGAAAATTTTGATGTGATGGAAAAGTTGGAAGTTTGAATAAAACGTTTGGAACTAAACTCGGCCTAACTCTGAGGGGCTGAAGAAAAATGAGCCTAAGATGTACTCCCTCCGTTTCACAATGTAAGTCATTCTAGTATTTTTCACATTTATATTGATGTTAATGAATCTAGATAGATAAATATGTCTAGATTCATTAATATCAATATGGATGTAGAAAATGATAGAATAACTTGCATTGTGAAACAGAGGAAGTATATTTTGTTTCTGAACTAATTGACGGTATAAATAATTCTCGTTTCGGAGGACAATTCTCGGTAAAATCAACAAATTGTGGCACACGTGTTTGTTTTCCAGCTCTTACATTAGCTTTTTATAAGTACGAGACAAAGTAAAAAAAAATCAGGTTCATTTCCACGAGAAATACTTGTGATATTATGAAATTTATGTACTGCCCTTTTGTTTAAAAAAAGTTATTGTCTCATGAACAATTGAATTTAAGTTCACAAAATCCATACAAGAATGAACCATTCACAAAATCCATAGAAGAATGAACCAGTCAATCCTTATCCTGGCGACTGATGATGTATCACTCTAGGAGTCCTTTTCCTTTTCTCTGAAAAACGCACCAAAATTGCATTTAAAAAATGTATAATTGAATCGTTGACTTTGTGCTAAATCTGTCGCAGCATCCTGCTAGTGGATAATACCTTTTGATCTTTAGATCGGATCTTTCTGAATTATTGAGAGACAAGCTGATTGTCATCGGCCATCATTGGGACCCAGATCCATTTTGCCTGTTCTCATTCTAAACCACTCGTATGCTGAGTTTTTGTCCAAGTGTCATGAGAGCTGGGATAGAATTTTTCTAAAGTTGAAATGGCATAGCTCCTGTCCGCTTCCTAATAAAAAAAGAGAATTTTTCTATAGTTCCAAATGGTTGCAGCAAGATAACTTGTCAGTTTTTGTTAGCATGAGTGTTTTGACATGCATAATAGACTCCTTTCTCCCAAATCATGCGCTTTCCTATGTGTATAAAGGTTAACATAGTTTGAAGGTTCGTGTTGTTTCTTTTTAAGAGAAAAACAAATATGAGTATATATAAGCTTAGTCTCTTTTCTTTTCTTTCTTTTTATTTTGTTGTTCCTTTAGTTGTGGACTACTTGAGTCTATGTATTCCTGTAATCCATTATCTAAAAAGAAAAAAACCTATCAAGTACTCCTCAAGTAGTCTGAAGATGCTTACTTTTTAATACTACTCATTTAGTTTCACAATGTAAGTCATTCTAACATTTCTCATATTCATATTGATGTTAATGATTTAGATTCATTAACATTAATATGAATGTGGTAAATGCTAGAATGACTTACATTGTGAAACGGGGAAAGTACTATTTAATTAGTTAATTAGGTGTCAATCTTAGGAGAAGTGTGTGTTCAGGTTGAAGCCGGTGGTGGTGTTACTAGCACCCTGGCCTACAAGGGAGGTTGGACATGACAAGGACTCCAGGAAGGAGAACCTGAAACCCAAAATGAAGATAGAAAAAGGAAAAGAGAAATGATCGTTTGTCTGAATTCAAGATACAATATTCAGTCTAGTCAAGGAAAGGAATACTACCATTTATAACAATTTATTAGGCATGGTCTAAAATTTGTGAATACTCAAAGGTGTTTTTTTTTTCAAAATAAGAGTATATAAGATACCCCTGACATTACTTAAGCTAAGATAAAACGTGAAAAGAATATGTCAGATTTTTTACGAAAAAATAAGCAAAGTCAAATACGGATCATGTGAACATATTCTGAAAATTCAGTTGTGGTTGGTCTTGTGCTGTTCCAACGTAACCAACCTTTCCTCCTCTTCCCTCTGCACATCTGAATTGTCAAGCAACCACAACTCTTGTCCATCCTCTCCAATCTTAAGCAGGATAACACAAAGAATTCTTCCTTCACATTCCCATTCACAATCCTTCCTTATTCAACAATTTGTCTGATACTTGCATGCCCACAGGCAGCTCAAAAAGCTAGCTACTTGTTTCTGACTTGTATCATTTCTACATAGATAGCTCAAAGCCTCTCAAAATCCTGCATTTCTTGCTCAAATGGATTTTTCAAGGCATAGATTCTTCAAATTCAGATCAGCAGCTGTCTCCTTCCTCTCCATGTAACTAATTTCAAGCTCTCAAGATCAGCAAGTTCAGCAATCACTAGACTAGCTAGGCTCACTCCTTCCACATATAGTCACAGCTGCTCTCATCAATCAATCTATCTTTCCAGCTTCCAGGTGACAATCGAGACCTGAATTTCTGAACTTTTTTTCCCTCTCGTCACTTCGTCAGTAGAAATCCAAGGTTTATATTCCTCTGTACTACTACACAACAGAGTGAGCGTAGTACGTGTCTCATCAGCATCAAAAAGTGACATACTGAAAGCACGCCACAATTGAGGCCGATTGATAGAATCGAATTCCACTCAAAATTGCACGGTGGAAGAGAATCCCCTGCGTGCTTGATTTGATCAGGATTTATATTGGAGGCATCCAATTCCATCACTCAACCGGAGCTGTCTGTCTGTAGCTATCGCCCTATTTCTGCTAGCTCGTGGCGTGCCAGTTTAATTTCTTCCAAAATTCTCCGGCCTCACCTCGCGTCGCGTCGCGTCGCTTGCGTTAGGAGGTGCCTAAGTAGTGGCTTGTCGGCGTCAGATGAGTGCAGGGACGTGCTGCTCGGAGGCGTCCATGGCGTGGATCGACTGCTCCCTCCTCGCCTGGCTCCTCTTCCGCGTCGTCTTCTTCTCCTGCCACGCCAAGCAGTTCAGCATCTTCTAGCACTCGATCAGCTAGGCTGAATCCACATATACTCCAGCATATATATACAGCAACTGATTAAGTAAGCTGTTGCTCGCCGACGACGGTGGCCGAGCATGTCCGGTGCACGGCGGTGCGGTGGCCGGACGTCGGAGAGAAGCTCGGTGGTGGGCGACAACAGGAATGGATACGTCGAGACCGACCCAACTGGGCGCTATGGCCGGGTAATTTATTCACTTCTTCTTCTTCTTCTTCCAAAGAGAAATTTGACTTGTTTCCTTTCAAAGTTCAATCTTATCATGATTGCCAAATGATCAGCAAGCAATTCCGAGCTATTCAGGGTCAATTCAGTTCATTGCTTTTTCGTTCAAAAGAAAAAAAAATCAGTTAGTTGCTTTTGATTCTACTTGGACATGGATTGTGCCTATCATGCATGAGTTTAGTTGTTCAGCTCTATCATGTTCTTTAGATGTGGGCTGGTACTTGGTAATTACATTTCAATACACGTTGTAAGCATCAGTTAAAACATGTTGGCTTCATTCTCTTTCAGAAAAGCATGTAGGCTTTATGTTCTTTAGCATAATTTTCTAGAGTAGATTCCATGTTGATGTACACATCGGAGCTAACACCTCTAAACTATGCAAGACACAATTATTGTGTCTTTAGTACTTTCATCGTATCCATTTGGCTTTTGCTGCTATCTATGGGCTGCATAGGACAATTGAATATTGCGCATTGAAACATATCAGGTTTGAGGTTTCGTTGTTAATCCTAAGCCATTGCTGTACTGAAAGATAACATCATTTTTTTCTATATTTGGTCAAATAACGGAAGTGCATCATAAATTTGAGATGATGAGTGAGAATTCGATTATGATCTCTTCCAATCCAATCAGGGAAGGTAAGGTGTTCCTTATCAAACAAGCTAGAGTTGTTGTTTGGTTGGCATTCAGTTTCCTAATATGTTGGATTTGATCTGAATAGATAAGCATGTTCCATGTGTCAATCTGCCAATAATCAGATGTTGAAAAAGTTTCAAGAGTGGAGTATATGCCCTGTCTGGTCATGCTCATGCCCAACGATTTGATACGATCCGCTCACCTTTTTCTTAGTGGGATGAAGACGTATTGGCAACTTTATTAGTTCATCTTTTTCAGTAGTTTCTCTAGGGTTAGAGGTGTACTTACCGGCAACTTATTTGTAGTTATGTGAGCTTTTTGCAAAAGTGTCTTACTTTTATAAATTTGACAACTACCCACTACTTTGAGTTAACTTTTTATATGTATAGTAATTTTAACTTTTGATCAGAAGTACTGGTTGTTTAGTGCTAAATTAGGGAGAGTAGTTAATTGAGGTGCCAAATTGGTTCTCGTAACTCAAAAGTGTTGATTTTATTTGACTAGAGATTTTCTAGACATTACTGTAGCAAAAACCCGTTTGGAATCTGCATTTTTCACTTCAGAACATTATGAAAATAAAACTTATATAAGATTTTTAAATCCCATGTAAAATTAAATTTTAAAAGATGACTATAAAAGTGCACTACAATAAATAAATAAATAAATAAAATTTATCTCATTCTCTTGAAGAAAAGCAATTCATTAATTGCACTTTCTAGTGTAGTACAATACACAATAATATTGTTTTCTGACCATGTGCTCATGATCTGTAAGTATATATTTTCTCTACATATGCAAGCATGTTTGTTTCAAAAACTTTTTAAACTGCACGAAGTATAAAATATTTAGAATTTAGTGAAAGCAAGCATTTCGAATCAAAATTAAACTTGTCAATTCAGAATAAAGTAGTCTGGCTAGCTTGACAATATATAGATAAATTAATTAATTCGCTTTGTGCTGGCATGCATATTTCTGGTATTTCAGATATATCAGAAATTTCGTTTTGTACTTTCTGCTATTTCAGAAACTTGAAGAATTTCCCCCCCCCCAATATGAAATTAATTTGGCTGAAAAAAAATTCTTGTTTTTAAGTAAGCAAATTTTAACTAAACTTTAACCAAAATTTGTTGAAATTTCAACCTTTTCGGCCTGAGATTTCCGAAATTTCGGTTCTATCGAAATTTGTTCAAATTTTGTACTGTATACAATATGTGTGCAGTTGTCGGAGGTGCTGGGGAAGGGTGCGATGAAGACGGTGTACCGAGGGTTCGACGAGCTGCGGGGGGTGGAGGTGGCGTGGAACCAGGCCACCATCTCCGACGTCCTCCGCACCCCGGACGCCCTCCACCGCATGTACGCGGAGGTGAGCCTCCTCGCCGACCTCCGCCACGACGCCATCATCGCCTTCCACGCCTCCTGGGTCCACCCCTCCCGCCGCACCTTCAACTTCATCACCGAGCTCTTCTCCTCCGGCACCCTCCGCTCCTACCGCCTCCGCTACCCGCGCGTCAGCCGACGCGCCGTCGCCGCCTGGGCGCGCGCCATCCTCCGCGGCCTCGCCTACCTCCACGCCCGCGGCGTCATCCACCGCGACCTCAAGTGCGACAACATCTTCGTCAACGGCCACCTCGGCCAGGTCAAGATCGGCGACCTCGGCCTCGCCGCCGTCCTCCGCGGCTGCGCCTCCGCCCGCAGCGTCATCGGCACGCCGGAGTTCATGGCCCCCGAGATGTACGACGAGTGCTACGGCGTCGGCGTCGACGTCTACTCCTTCGGCATGTGCATGCTCGAGATGCTCACCAACGAGTATCCCTACAGCGAGTGCGACAACCCGGCGCAGATCTACAAGAAGGTCACCGCCGGCAAGCTCCCCGACGCCTTCTACCGCCTCACCGACGCCGACGCGCGCCGCTTCATCGGCCGGTGCCTCGTCGACGCCGCCCACCGCCCCTCCGCCGAGGAGCTCCTGCTCGACCCCTTCCTCTCCCCGTCTCAGAACCACGACGATCACAATATCATTGCTCATGCCACTGCGCCGCCACCGCCATTGCCATTGGCGTGCAGTAATTCCAGTGAGGAGCAAGAGGAGGCGGCGCCGGCGCCGGCAGCAAAGACGACGGACATGGCGATCACCGGGAAGCTGAACAAGGAGCACGACACCATCTTCCTCAAGGTGCAGATCGGCGGCGGCCGCAACGTGCGGAACATCTACTTCCCGTTCGACGTGGCGAACGACACGGCGATGGAGGTGGCGACGGAGATGGTGAAGGAGCTGGACATCGCCGACCGGGAGCCCACGGAGATCGCCGCCATGATCGAGCAGGAGATCGTGAGGTTGGTGCCAGGGTACAAGCAGCACGAGTACTCGTACGCGGATGACAACGACGATGATGACGTCAGCGGACACCCTAATCCCTTCTACTACCTCTCCTCTTCGCCGACCTCCTCTCAGGGATCTCTCTGCGGAGTGGGGTCCACATCGTCAGAGGGGTTTCCTGGCCCACATGGAAAAGTTGACTGGTCAAGAGGTACTATAACAAAGTGTTTTCATCTTGATTACTTTCCTATATATCAACAACGTGCTATTCTAATCTGAATATGGTTCTAGCTATATAGAAGATAAAAGGTTGGGTTTTCTATACAAATCTCTTGAGTAGGTAGAAGAAACTTGCATAATTAAACATTTTTACATACAGTTTTGAAATGGGCACATGACGTAGTAGCATGCATGCAGTGATGCAGATGATAATAGTGCGGCACCAACTTCCAAATGCATGTATGTATACCTGAAGTTAGCTTTTGTTCATTTGCTCAACTGCTTTTGTTCCTATGCAAGAAATTAAATTTCCTAGTCACCATATATATGAACAGAGAAATTGGAAGTCAGACGTGCAAACTACTAGAGGTAGCTAGCTAGCAAGGTGGTTGATATATGCTTGTCCATTTGTCGTTGCTATTCGTGCCAATCCTGTGACACGAATACATGCGTCAGCGTTATATCGTTTCTGTTCCTATATAGTACTAGTAGCTAGCAGCTTACAGACAGCCATGCATTAGGTTCGTGATGCATAATTGTGGCTTTCACTGTCACAATTGATCTCTGCAGAGACATCTTAGACGGATAAAAATTGTGCTCAGTTAGTCGTGTTACAATCATCATCCTGGCCGGCCAGCAGCATAAATGTCAAATGGAATAGTTGTCATGTAACATACACATCAATCATTATATCTACTACAAGTACTACCACCAGCTGGTTAGTGCAGTTAATAATGTGCGCATGAAATAATGGACATGAATAATGAATAAAGATTAGGCACTATATATACACATGGTACATATATAGCTCCCCATTTCATTGTCATCGACCGCATCTTTATTCATATCCATTTATTTCATGCGCACATTATTAACTGCACTAATCAGCTGGTGGTAGTACTTGTAGTAGATGATGTTTTGAATTGACTAATCCGTTTGATTTGATGCATGGTGTAGATTACTGTTACTACCCTCCAAGCAGCGTCAGCGTGAGCGACGACGATGACAGCAGCACGAGCTCACTCTCTGCTGCAGTCAGTGCAAGCAGCCTGCATCAGCAGCAGCAGCATTGCTCGGCCTCTTCCAGCAGATTGGGGCCAGCATCTGCATCTGCATCTGAAGACGGAGGAGGAGGACACGCCGGACGGCCACGGCAGCGAGAGGGGGAGGAGGAGCGGCGGCGGCGGAGGATGAGTCGGAACAGGTCCATGGTGGACATGCGGAGCCAGCTGCTGCACCGGACGTTGGTGGAGGAGCTCAACAAGCGCCTCTTCTTCAACACCGTCGGCGCCGTCCACGACATCGGCTTCCGCGACCCTACTGCTGCTGCTTCTTCTTCCTCTAGCTCTTCCCACCACCGCCGGAGAAGCAGCAACAAGATCGACCACAAGCACCACTACATGTTCTGAATAAACTTTTCAGAGCAACTTAATTTGCTACTCCATTATGTACAGAGAATCAGATGCAGAGTATTAGCCTCTGATAATGGATTAGGGCCGTTCACTTTGATGCCACTTTGAACCTTACTAAATTTTGGTAAAACTACCAAAAAAAAGTGGCTACATTTAGTTTGTTGTCAAATTTTAGTAACTATATATAAGAAATCCTGCTAAAATTTTAACAAGTTGCCAAAATTTGATAAGGTTTTTTTTTTGACATCAAAGTGAACATGCCCTTAATGTGCGCAGTGCAGAGTATGCATTGCGTGCGCGGCCACAAAATTGTGTATATTTGGAACGAGTGCATATATATATATGCGTGTTATCAATGAGAGTTTCGCCATGAGACATGTAAGTGAATATGGGAGTGATATGTACATATAGTTGTTGTTACCAGTGGAGTACAAAATACTACTCCAGCATGCATGCGCTGCTGACCAGAGTTTTTACTGATGAACAGCTCTCCTAATCAACGCGCTGTTTTTTTTTCAAGTTTCAATTTTGCTAATAAAAATGGCTCTCTCTTTTTGTTGAAAGTGTTTTCAGCTTTGGTGAGTTTGCTGGTCGTTCTCCGACATCTTTTCCAATCCAAATTTTTTTCCCCGAAATTGATTGTGGAAATCAACCAAAATTTTCTACCCCGAGATCATCTTGGGCTCTGGACACACTGATGTGATGACCCTACCTTCCTGGGCCACGTCCATCGATCTCTGGGCTGCAGTAATGGGCCTTCGCCCATCACCGCGCGTGTGCAATTACTGCAAGGAATAAGTTCACTTTAGGTCCCTCTATTTGTCGGTCAGTCCGATTTTCGTCCCTTGACCACAAAACCGGATACGACCCATTTCTCAACTTATCAAAACCTAACAAACAAGATCCCTCGGCAGTATGGAGTGTGGTTTTAGCCAACGTGGCGCCTACGTGGCTCCTCTAACTAGGTCTTCATTCCACGTGGCATTGACGTGGCAACTCGATCTGAAAAAAAATTAAACCCCATAGGACCCACATGTAAATTAAACCCCATAGGACCCACATGTCAGTTTCACGCATAAAGTAATAAAAATGGTGGGGCCCCACATATCACTCCCACCCCTACCTCTTCTTCTTCCCCTCTCCCCCATCTCCCCTCTCCGGCCACGGTCACGCCGCCGCCTGGGACGACGACCTCAAGAAGACTTCGCCCGGGCGTCCGCCCACGTCGCTGCCCCAGTCCGTCCCGTCGGGCTTCACGCCGCCGTCCGCTCGCCCGCCCCCCGCTTCGCCCCGCCCCGACGGCTTCGCGCCGCTGCGTGCCGGAAGACGACGACGACGAGGCTGGCGCCCTCTGCTTGGCTCCGCCGCCCGCCGAGTCGCAGCCGTATGCGGACGGGAGCTCGACGCGGCCCGCCGCGGAGGAGGAGGAGACCACGGCGCTCAAGACTCTGCAAGTTCCATCTAGCTTTGCAAGGCCCATCAACCGCAGCATCATCAGTTCTTCTTCTTCGTCGTCGTCGTCTCAGAATTCTCTGCGGCCAAAGCCTGGTATTGGCAGGGCTCGCCGCAAGTGTCGCCGGAGAGAGGCGGCGCCGGAGCACGGTGGAATCTTACTATAAATGCCTGTATGGTGATGTTGGATGCTCATTCAGATTACCTGCTCCAATAATAGTCAAGACTCAAGAGTCGATTAATTTCTAAGTTCCAATAATATTTGGTGTTTATATATATTGGACTCGCAAGCAAGAACTACTACACCAGGTTAGGTGAATGGTCCAGCTTGCCCAAAAGTTGCAGATGAAATATTCAGACCTGTGGATCGGACAAAGTGTTCCCGTTTGAATCATTGATCATAGCTGGAGAAAAAACCTAGGAGCTGGGGATAACTAATATGATATATATGGAAGACGTGATCATCTCAACTAACAATCTATGGCGTTGCTGGTTGTAGTTGCTACTACACGTTTGATGGGAAACATGCAGGGGCGGCAACAACCTGCACGGCTGCGTGGACGAGGGCGCCGCGGCAGGAGCAGGCGGCGGAGATCCCCATCGTGCTGTTCCTGTCGATGGTCTTTCCCGGCACGACGGTGCAGCTCCAGGTGTTCGAGTTCAGGTACCGGATCATGGTGCACATGCTGCTCCAGTGCTCCAGGAGGAGGTCACCAGGTTCGGCGTCGTGTACTCCGGCAGGGGAGTGGGGGGCGGTGTGGCGGCCGGCGAGGTGGGGTGCGTCGGCGGCGACCGGTTTCGCGTCGTCGGCGCTGTCAAGACGAAGCCGTACGTGGTCGCGAGGATCCGCCGCGCCGCCATCCGCCCGCCGCCGCCCCCCACTCCGCGCCCGCTCTACCACCCACGCGAAGCTTCTTCGTCGGCGGCAATGGCTGATAGGGGAAGATAGGGAGAGGAGAAAGAAATTGCTACAGCCTACCGACTGACATGTGGGGTCCCATATGGGCCCCATCACATTTATTTTGTTGTGTAGTTGACATGTGGGTCCACGCGGGCCCCACCATTTCTAAATTATTATTTTTTTGTGTAGTTGACATGTGGGCCCGTGGTTTTTATTATTTTTTCGAGATATAATTGCCACGTAAGTGCCACGTCATTGCCACGTGGAACGGAGACCTAGCCAAACCAGCCACGTAGGCGCCACGTCAGCCAAAACCGCTATCCAAACCGCCTTAGGACCTTATGTGCACTGGTTTTGTAAGTTTGGGGATGCGTTATATCCGGTTTTGCGGTTCAGACTGGGCGACAAGAGGGACCTAAAGTGAACTTATTCCTTACTGCAACGCGTAAACAGCCTGCAACTTGCTGTATCTGTATGCGTGTCGCCAGCTTCGGAGGAGGGCACGGCAACGATCCAGAGTCAACGGTCAAATGTTCCCTATCCCATTTACATCTCTCTCTTGATCCAATGCATTGTACCACCAACTTCTTCTCCAAGCACTGACCCTAAATTGCCTAATTGTTTCCTCTTTTTTTTTTATGAAATAGAAATCATGTATTTGTCTCATCTTCTCAAGGTGTTCAATGTGTCTCAGATATCGCGCGTTGTCAAGGACCAAATTATGCTGCATATCTTGCTAACCTCTTTATATTTTGTATCTAGCTGATCATCTCGTAATTAAAAGGTAGTAAATTTGATCTGTAATTCTAACATCAATGTAATTCTAAATTTGATTTGTCCCATGGAAGCATAACCGATATTACATAAATTAGACTCATCAGCTGCACCCCCCTCCACCCGCTTTCTTTTTCCTTTCTTATTATAATCTCCTAGCCCCTGGGCTATTGTACAGTTTTTCCCCCTACTTTACAAATACACCCCGCGGGGTTTAAAAAAAAACATCAATATGCATCACAGCAGTCAGAACTCAGAAATATTCAGAAAATGCAGGGGAAACCAAAGAAAAACGTTCCATTAGTTGTTGCGAACTAGCTAGCAAATCGATCTCATGTATATATATATGTACATAGTTTCTGTATATCCAACAAATCAACAGATAAAAAGAAACAAGAAAAAGAAGTAGCCTGTGTCATACACTCATACATACACAACTAAGATCGAGAGCCTACAGAGGAGGAAGAGGAAGATGGCAAGTACGAGCAGCTAGCTAAGCTAGTTTGTGCGCTTGCTGGGGCTGGATGGTTGTGGCCTTCCTCTGGGCTTCATACTTCTCAACCAAGACAGCTGCTGCTGCTGCACCACTTGTTCTTCAGTCCTCGTCGTCGTATCTGCTGATGCTGTCTCCGATTCGTGCTTCAGCTGCGGCTGCATCGGCGTCGTCGGCGACGGGAGAAGCAGAGGCCTGCTGCAGCTGCCGTGGTGCGCGAAGAAGACGAGCAGGAGGAGCAGCACAAGCAGCAGCAACGACGACGACGAGCTGCAGGGCTTCTTGTTGCTTGACAATAGCAATGTGGCCATTGTTGTGATCTCCTTGTGTTGGAAGCTAATATGGATGGATTTGCAGAGGAATTGAAGCACAGGTAGCTATCCGGGATATAAATACAAGAGATAGGTAGCCGCAGAGCGAAGAAAAGGGGGCGTTTCAATTAAAGTCAATGGAGAGGAGACGATCGATGGAATTATTAACTCAAGCTAAGACGTGTTTCCTCTTCCAAAAGATTAGCTCTCAAGACGTGTGGAATGGAAATATGGAATCAATTAAGCCAGTTTTGCAAGCTGGAAGGAAGAAGCAGAAGAAGATGTAGATAAAGAAGACTTGGTGTGAGGGGAGGCGTGCGGATCAAGTTGAAGCTAGCTAGCAACGATCGATGGAGGGACGACGCGTTTTGAGTAGCAAGCTCCACCTGGCGAGACCGTGTAGCCGTCTACACATTGATGCCACTAGTATACTGTACATTCTGCTTCACTCATAGGCTGACAGGCCACGTACCGACTTTCTATCAGCACACCTCATCTATCAGTAATTCCATTTAATTTGTAGCGAAAATGTTTAGCTATCGTGCAAAACGCTAGGCCCCATGCGATCGAGGCCATGTCTTACCGATAATGGGAGTATTTGGAGTTGGTAAGCGATAGACCACAACAACCGGATTGTAGAAGGTCTCTGATAAAAGCCCAATGTTTCACTAGACCAGTAATGACTATGTCTTTGGGTGTGATAACCCTATTGAGAGTGTTGTCAAGATACACCTTCTCTTTCGGTGAGGATTTCTGGGTGAAAATCATATCCAGTTTATTTGGATGGCAACAACCGCGTCTTTTGGTATCGCAAACTTCGTGGAGACATCGTTTTTTTAGGTGTTCGCTATGTGGTGTTGTTGTTGGCCTAGCGATGACCAACCTCGTATATCAGTGATTGGTTTAATTGGTGCTCAGTTTCTCTCTCAGAAGCTTATGTTTATATGGTTGATACGTAATTCAGGGCTCTCAGAAGCTTATGTTTGTATAGTTGATGCGTAATTAAGGGTGGGCATATACTCTAATGCACATCCCTCCTTGACAACCGGTTGGAAAAAAAGAAAAGAATTATAGTGGCAATCATATATATGTTCAAAAATATTGCCAATTATTTAAACACCTCAAAATATACATAATAATAGCTGATACACCTCAAAATATATATACGGAATCACCGAAATATAATATATGGAGAAGTCGGGTGGATCAACATGTACCGAATCAAATGGAACCAGTTAGTGATACTAATTAAATCACAAATTAACTTTGAGCGTGCGTACGTGTCAGACCATGTTATCTGCAGCATTATCGGCGGTGGCGGCGGCAGAGAAAACATCGGCTCTGCAGAGCGGGCAGGTTTTATGGGTGTGAAGCCAATTGGTGACGCAATCCTTGTGGAACACGTGCACACATCCCGGCAGCAGCTATCATCCTCCTCGCCGCCGGTGTACGACGACGCCGCCGCCTGCAGTCTGATGACGCACTCGTCGTCGTCCTCCTCCTTGTCTACTCTATTGGGTACTCGTAGCAACAACTCCTCGACTGGCGAATTGGGCGGGTCAGCAATGGCGTTGCGGCGGCGGTGGCGCAGGAGGTGTCTGACCAGATCGGCGATGGCGATGGCGACGGCGATCAACCAGACGGCGACAATGAAGCAGACGAGGAACAATAATGCCTTCCCGTCCGTGCCTGCATGATGCCAATGGTGCATGCGTTGCCAGCTATGAGCTATTCGTACGTGCACTCGATCGATCAGTATCTTGATGATCTTGATCAACAATATAATATAATAATTAATCAAAAGCTGCTGATGCTAGCCGCAGTACGTCTCTTTAATTAAGCTGCCTGGCTGCTTAATCGATTGTGTAACATGCCAGTATTTTTTGCCAATCGACTTGGGCTTATATATCTCAATCGACTCTGGATCGGAGTAATTCCCCCGTCACAATACATAAGAATATATAATATGATGAAACACATTTTAATACTATAAATCTAGATAGACTCTACAACCAAATCTATAATCGAATTCGTAGTACTTAGATATATTCTATTTAATTAATACTAGTTACATAGTCGTGTTACACGTGACTTTTGATTCTGTTTAAGTACTTTGCTATATGCAACCTCGTTATTCCGTTTATGCTTATGCTTGTATTTCTTAAATTCTTTTCATGACTCTGTAGTGTGAGACCATGAACAAATTACTCCCTCGTTTTAGAACATAGCAATTTTTAAGCATGAATCTAGATTGGGATTGAGGGACTCAAGAGAAACACGTAGGGGTCTTTTGGCTAGCTCCACAATGTGGTGGGCTAGACGATCTCGGTTCAAAACCTCACCCCTTCTAATTACTTGATATTAGATCATTCCCTAATATTTGTGTCTTTTTTTTCTACTAAAAAAATAGTTGCCCTTCTATCTCAATATTAATCTTCTACGTAAGTACAAGATACTAGATAATCAGCCAATTAATCAATACAGAATTACTACATACAGTGACATATTGCAGAATACTACAATATACAACATGTTCAGTGACATATTGCAGAATACTACAGTATACAACATGTTATGTTCGACATTCTTTTTTCAGTACAACTGCATGGCCAAAATTAAAGCGAACTCTAGTACAGCACAATCCATCTGCTATCTGAATTTGGGATCAGTTTCATCAGAAATAGTGTCTTGTTGTTCGTGACAGAGGAACACTCTGCACGCCACCATGGTCTCACCCACCTTCATCCCCGGCGTCACGGTGAACGCAACTCCATCTCCTCCGCCACGACCAGCATCGGCGGCGGCGGCGGCCACGACGCTGTCCATGTACTCCGCCGCGTACCTGCTCCCTCTCCTCGCGTACAACATCCTCACACTTCCACGGCCACAACATCGCCGGTGCGCCGTCACCGCCACCTGCAGCGCCCACGCCGACCTCGCCATCGTCGCGAACGCCCTGTAGAACCACGTCCTCAGGTGCCCGCCTCGCGACACGAACGCCCTCACGTCCAGATTGTTTCTGAACATCGCTGCCTCCATCTCTGACGGCACGGCCGCTAAATACTTTGTTCGACAGAATCTCGCGAAGCTGGAGTTTGGATGCGCCATCAACGCGTCAAGAGGGTCACAGCACCTCATGATCCGATCGAAGCGAGCAAGATCGAGTTCGTCATCATCTTCAGCACCATCATGTACTGCAAGCATTGTTCGTGACAGGTAAGCTTCCAGCGAGTACCTCTTGTATGGTGAATGTTCGTCTGCATTGTTGGTGCAATGATGATCAGATGAGGAAATCAAGCTAAAGATCAGCTCTGCGAAATCATGCACCGATGTCGATGCAACCTTGAACAGCTCCAAGACTGCACTGGGTGTCGTCAACTTTTTCAGGACAACGGAGTAATCCTTATGATGGTTAACTGATGGTTTGCTGCTACTGATCTGTTTATTCAGTCTCGAATTGGCACTCTTCAGACCATCCAGCTCTCTTCTCAACAGCATAATGTCTGAATCTTTCTTCCTCGTCTCAGCTTCCAGTTCCTGCACCAGCGACCATCGATCGTTGATCAGTGACCCGACGCTGCCATTCCAACTGCATAAGCTCTGAAGAGCAGTGACCGAGTCGAGCTCGGAGGTGATGATCTCGTCGGCGAAGGCTATCTTTGGAGGATTATAAGGGATATGGGCTTTCTGCAGCTTGATGTAGGCTGACTTGAGAGCTCCGATTTCCTCAAACAGTCTTGTGATAATTAGCCTCTGATCATATCCGCCACAATAATCTCCAAATTCTGTCTTCGTGTCAGCAAATTCAGGCGCGGCACAAATCTTTGTGATTTTGCAGAGCTTGGAGAAGCCTAATACGAGTCCAGGAACATTACAGGTGCTCCTTGCAACTGAACTTCTTGGTGTTCTTGACTCCATTGGGGCTGATTCAGTGAAAACCAAGAAACAAAAGAAGAATCTTTGAGACGACATGGGAGAGTATGGTAAAATTATCTACGAGAAAATCAATGTAATCAATGGTTTGAACTTGCTTTACTTCTCTAATTCGACAGAAAGACTAACAAACCTCTGTTTATGACCACAGACCAAATGCAGCAATATCTTTCATTTTGTGAGATGTAAACCCAACAGTAAACCACAGACTACATAGGCTCCATCTCCACTGTTTTGAGCACTTGCACAACAAAATTCAGATACTACAATGTACTACTAGTAGATTTGAGCAATAAGCTGGAGCCTTGCATTTGCATGGTTGTAATGGATAGAATTGGATAAAGCAGTACACAACAGATAGAGCTATGCAGGATCAAGAAAATATGTTGCAGACAAACAGATTTATTTGTTGAAAATGAAGGGTAGAACCGTAGAAGAGCAAGCATGAAGTACCTGGGACTCTGGGAGAGGGAGGCTGGGACTGACAAGTGAAATGCTGAATTGAATTGGTGTAGAGTGACCAAGTCTGAAGCTGCTGCTGCTGCTGCCTGCTATGCAGAGAGGAAAGCGAAAGAGCAAGCAGGAGCAGTAGTACAATGAAGGACAAGAAATGGACATGGCAGTGGCATTGGGAACAACAAAAGCAAAAAGCTTGCAGAGACAAGGTTTTTGCGATGCATTGTGGCCACTGGAATGGATAGTGTGTGCTGTCCGGTGTCCCCTCCCTTGGTGGCCCGTTGTCTCAAAGCAAAAGTGAAAAAAAAGTGGTAAATGAGCGTATTGAGATGATCTTTCATTCCAACCAAACCTTTTCCAACATTTGACTACTTCAAAATCAAATTTCAGTCACTTTCCGATATACTACTAGTAGCTAGGTAAATATATATCACTTCCAACGGTGATATCAAATAATGTACTCTTTTCTATCTATCTATCTATTCTATTATATTATTAAAACAGCCTTAAAAGGAGTCACCACGTTCACCGTGGAGGCTGGAAATTCCCACATTAATCGGAGAAAAAGAGAAATGTCTACACCGTTAAATCGTGGTGGGTCCAAATTATAACGGTGTAGATCAATTGGTAACTTCTATAATTATGAAATAGAATTTGTATTCAACTAGAAAAAGGATATTCTATCTCTCCGTATTGGGTAGCAGCACATGCATATACGTATAGTAGAGTCCTGATAGTATTTGGATGTGGTGTCCGATTTGGAAAAGAAAAAAAAATGATGTTGCATGCACAGCCGAACTGGGCAGATACATATGCGGGCATAACTACAGATGTATGATCACATATTAGTACGAGTAATATAGCATATGTTGCCAAGTGTTTTTCTTCTACCTACATATTTGTGCGGCTATTCACTATATAGATTATTTACTGTTAGATATGTATTAAAGAAGACATTATGTTCGTTCGTAAATTCTCACATTAGTAATCAGAGAAAAAAAATATCTTAATCGATACATCATGATGGGTTTATATAATAACACCATATATTGATCAATATAGTTATATGTAAAATATAATATATCTATCTAAGACAGCTTTGAAAGAAAGCAACACGTTTACTGTGGAGGCTAGAAATTATTAGAAAAAGAAAAAAAATCTTAACCGTTTGATTACAGTGAGTCTATACTGTAATGGCTAAGATTGATCGTATACTTATAAGAAAAGAAAAAAAAAGTACTACGCAGTACACATATCCTCTTCAGATTTTGTAAAAGTGCTAGATAATCATGTCTGGAGTCGACTCCCAGCCGAACAAAACCGGACGGCAACAGGACAAGTTTTTTTTTGGAATCCTAGCTGAGAAGGTCAGCAACCGGACATGAAAAGTCCTACTGATCCCGGATTCAATCTAAAAGTGACTAGCCGTAATCCTATTCATTCACTAATATAATTACAAAAAGTTTTTATTGACTAGCACATGCTACTTTTCAAATATACGTGTGGTTCATATAGATGGTTCGCTTTTGCTTTCAAGTTTCTAATCGTAAATACTACAAAGCCTATATTTGTCAATTTTTATTTTTAAAGAAATACTTCCATTTTTATTTTTTACATGATTTTGGTTAGTTAAAAAGCGAAGAGTGTTAATAAATAACATGTCCTAACTCAAAGCAATAATCCATGAACCATACATTTTAAAGACATGCAGTTCAAAATAACTCAAAAATAAGATACCATGGTCACTTTAGAGGCTTAGAAATAATCAATTTAAAATAATAATTAAGGACTATTGAAAGAAGAGATCATTTAGAACATAACACGAGTATTAAATTTCGGAATAAAAAATAAAATAAATTCTGAAATTAGAAAAATAAAAATGAGAGTTCAAATAGGAATACAATTTAGAAATAATAAAATGTTCGGAATAAAGTATAAGGAATTTTGGAAGAACATTTCACATAGAACCCAACACAAGATTAATTAAAATTCATAATTAAAAAAATTATAAAAGAATATTATTAATTCTAACTCCAAATAAAATTAAAACATCACTAAAATTAGGAAAAAAAATAACATAAAAATTTTTAAAAAGTAAATGCCGCATATGAAGAATTGTACATAGTATAATGCAATATATAAATATCCAAAAGTAAGAGTAACTAAAATTCTGAATAAAAATAAAATAAATTCTGAAATTTGGTTTCAAAACTAATTATAAATAAACTTTAAAAAAATGAAATTTAAAGTAATAATATAATCTAGAAATAATTGAAATTCTAAATAAAAATATTTAAGCAAACGAAGTGGGCTGTTGTGATGGATATATAGGACCTAAAACAAGTACCAATGTTCACTTTGGTTTATTGAAAATGATGAAACTAGATTTTAAGATTGTAGATTAAGAAAACAGATAAATGAAGAGTTCTGTAAGAATTACATTTATTTTTTTATATCTACTAGATTTTAAGACTGTAGATTAAGAAAACAGATAAATGAAGAGTTCCGTAAGAATTACAGTACTTATGTAATCTATTTTGATTACCAAAATGATAAAATCGAAGATTGACAATTAAAAATACACATTGGGCTAAGTCCTGCTAGGGTGGCGAGAGGGCGAGCTGCTAAAGTAACGAATATTAGGAGCTATGAATGGGTGATTCGATAGGTGTAAAACGAGTAAGATAGGGAAGGAGGTATATCAACAATAGTTGGCGGGATATCTAACCTAATCACGTCGACAATAAATTTTGATTTTGTTAGGTAGCGACAACAACGAAGAAGAGAGACGACACGGGCTAACGAGTCGATAGGCGACAAAGGAGTACGGAGATGGTGATTGGCATGGGAGAGCGAGCAGAGGGGCAGCAAATGACAATAAAGAGGGGGTGGCAGGTGAGCCATATTGGAGTAGAGTGACATGTTGATGGGACATCTAAAAACTATAAAACAGAATTTCAATAACGATTTTAGAACCCCAATAATGATAAAGGGGAGGGCAACGAGTAGATCGTAAAGTAGTAGGGTCGCAAACGGGACTTTAGAAAGTAAAAAATGAACCCCGACAATGATTAGGTTTTATTTTTAAAATCCCAATGAAAAAAAGGCAAGGGATAGCGGGTGAGGGGCGACGAGCAAATCGTAAAGTAGTAGAGTCACAAACGAGACTTTTAGAAAGTAAAAAAATGAACCCGACAATGATCAAGTTTAATTTTGAAAATAAACATGGCAAGGATAGCTAGCGAGGGTCGACGAGCAGATCGTAAAGTAGCAGGTTCACAAACGGGACATTTAGAAAGTAAAAAAATGAACCCCGACAATGATCGGGTTTAATTTTTAAAATCCCAATGAAAATAATAAAGGGCATGGGATAGCGGGCAGCCATAAAGGAGTAGGGTGACCGTGTTTTCTTTAAGACTTTAAAATACTATAAAAGGAACCCAATGAGAAAATGATAGGCCTAATTTCTTAAAGGTCCCAATGAGGATGAATAAAAGCCGTGACGAAGCGGCAAAGGAGCAAGGGGTGATAGTTGGTCTAACTTTTATAAGTTGAAAAAAAAACTCGATGAAGATAAGGTTGGGTTTTTTAAAAAAAATTCCAAAACAACGCTATGACTATTGACAATTTTAAAGAAAATAATGTAAAAAATAGATGATTATCTATGGATGCTTTGCGCGGGCCATTCTGCTAGTTGTCATAATAATACAGTAATTAAGTGTATGTAACCAAACTTCCGAAGCTTCCAAACAATTAATTACATATCTTTTCTAAAAATAGAAAAATGTCAGCTATACATCTCAATATACTCTTGCATGAAATACATCTATCAATTATACATCTCAAAATATACTTGTATAAAAATACTAGCAGCATACATAAGCACTGACTGGACATACGTATAGAGGTCAGATGCATATATATATATATATATATATATATATATATATATATATATATATATATATATATATATATATATATATATATATATATATATATATGCTCTCAATCAAATGAGTTAGTACTTCTCTCTCCGTCTCAAAATAAATCAAAGTATGATTGGATAAGATACTATCTACTGTTTCTACTGTTTCTAGGTTAATTTATTTTAAGACGGAGGTGAGAGATAGTTAGTGAAATCTGAGATAGCGTCAGACCATGTTATCTGCGGCGGCGGCGGCGGCGACGGCGACGTCAGAACGGCAGAGCGGGCATGTTGTGCGGTTGCGCAGCCACTTGACGACGCAATCCTTGTGAAACGCGTGCGCGCACCCCGGCAGCATCCTCCCTCTCCCCCGCTCGCCGCCGCCGCCGTCGACATCGTCCTCGTTCTCCGACAGACAGATGACGCACTGCTCGTTGTCTTGGTCGTCTTTAGGTCGTAGCAGCAGCAGCCTCTCGATCAGCATGTCGTACTGGTGCGCCGACTTGTTATTGCCGTCGTCGTTGCGGCGGAGGCGGATGAGATCGACCTCCACGGTGATGGCGAGGGCGAGGAAGAAGAAAAAGATGTTGCCCCACATGAGCCAGCTGTCCATGAAATCCTCCGCGTCCATGCACTGCACACACTCGAGTCGATCGATATGTCTCGATTTTCTTGTGTACGTACGTACGTATATGTCGATGGATCGATCATCGACTCTGAATTGGATTAGCAAAAAGTAAATCCGTTTCTGACACGTGACCGTCCTCCTGTCCTGCGCCACAGCCACGGCGACCCTTGCTTCGCCTCCTCATACATGGACCAGAGCATCTCACATCACAGATCGATCTTTTTTTTTCTCCGGCGATTAATTAAAGATCCAATCAACAGGCAATAATAATATCGTAGTTGATCCATTTCTTTCTTGTATGTATGCATGGACTGCTGGATCATAACAATATTTTTATCTCATCTCAAAAGGATTAAAAATCAAGTCCGAGCTAACAAGAGATCCATATATTGTGCACACAGATACCTAAAATACACTGATGCTACTATTTTTGGATCTGCATATATATAAAGGGTGCAACATATAATAATAACTGTTTGATGCTTGCAACACATTATTACGCATATATGCATGGGCGGCGCAGAACGAACACAATTCAAGTGGAATTGGAAAAAACAGAAATATCAAGATATAGTTGCGCGATGCTGTTCTTGAAAGAGCTGCCCATCTGGCAGGCGTTCGGGTTCTCCTTGCTCACAGGAGCCCTCGCCGGCAGCACCCTGTACGCCGTGTGCGTCGTCCTCCTCTGCTGTGTCGATCGCCAACGTCGACATGCCGGTGCGCCGCCGCCCGATCCGAAGATCTGGCTGCCGGACCACACGCACCATCGCCGGCAGCGGGATGAATCGTCGGAGTGCAGCATATGCCTGGGGGAGTTGGAGGAGGGGGAGAGGTGCTGCACGCTGGTGGCGTGCAGGCACGAGTTCCACAAGGAATGCATCTACCGGTGGCTCGCCAACCACAACACCTGCCCTCTCTGCCGCCACATGCCCCTCCCCCCTGCTTCATCACCACCACCTGCGCCGCCGCCTCACCATGCTTCTCCTCCTTCCAATGTACCGCCTGCTGCTCATGTTTAGATCATCATCTGAAGAGATTTTGTTTCTTAAAATAAAAAAAAAGGTTTCTTTCGGCTTAATTTGTTTGAACCCCCCCCCCCCCCACCCCACCCCCACAAAAAAAAAAAGAAAAAAGAAGAAACGTCTGGAAGAAAAATTGGAAGCACTGATGGACGATTGCTCTTTTACGTGATCATATATGTTCAAGAAGTTATACTATTTTCTACTATTGTCTACATTTATATATATATTAAAATAAATCTAGATATTTTCTAGCATTATCCACATTCATATATATGTTAATGAATCATATATATCTGCCTAGATTCATTAACATCTATATAAATATGAGCAATGCTAGAAAGTCTTGTAACCTAAAACGGAGGTAGTACAAGATATAGTTAGAAAGGTATACTTCAATAAACCCTTCTCTTTTCTCTACCTGCGTAAGCAACTAGCCAACTACACGTAAAACACAATGTATCAAGAGAAAACTCAAGGAAAATCAATAGAAATAATTTCAATTCTAGGAAAAATCTAATAAAAAATAACAACAAACTACCCCTATAGCCAGAAAATTCCTACATATTCCATTGCCCCTAAAAACAAACAATCAAGCGTAGGAAAAAGCACGCAAAGTCCTTCAATATGACTAGCTAACTCAAATCAATGAGCAAAACTAGCCTGAGAAATCACCTTAAAAAATGCTTAAAAACCACACGGAAAACTAATAAAAAGCTCGCCAATCCGATTTGCCACCACCTCGAAAAAGCCTCAAGAATGGCCCCTGCGATTTCTCCACCTCAAGTTGAGTTGGTTTTCCACAACAGCACAAGTCGCTGTTGACCACACGGACCGATGACCACATGGTGCTCACCGCTGATGAGCCATGAGGGTGAGAGGGGGGAAGGGGGGGAGGGGAAGAAGAAATACAGGGATAGGATAAGACCAAATACTTGGTATACTGATATGGATAAGATGTTTAAGTAGATGATTATTCAGTCGCCATGTTCGGACGGGAGACTGTTATATAGTATTTCCGGATTAGCAATTTGGAAAAGCTAGATACCGGTATCTCACGCCTAGCACCTGCGACGGTATCCGTCTCCCTCATTCCCCAGAGCACAAGCACAGGCATGCGGCAACGGAGCAACGCTGGCATCGGGCATGCAACAGCAGAAGAAGAAGGGAGAGAAGGGAGCTCACTGGAGAAGGCCCCCGCTGCCTCGCCTCACTGCTTCGTCGGGGAGCACATCACCGGAGAAGATATGCGGCGCCACGGGTGATGAGTTCTAGCATGGGACTAACGAGCCTCGGCGTGGGCGTGTACGATGGAAGACGCGGCCACCGGCGACCAGCCCTGGCGTGGGGCATGACAGCGGAAGATTCGGTCGCCGGCGTCGAGCCTCGGCATGGGGCTTGGACAGCGGAGGACGGGCTCGATGTGGAGGACAAGGCTAGCAGTGACGATGTCTCGGTGCCTAGCTCCTGATACCTAGTAAGAAACACATGATATCTGGCAGGTATTGCGCTCTGGTATCGACGAGTATCAGGTGGTATTAACAGGTATCAACATCAAGTACCAATGGGTAAGTATTACCTGATACCTGGCAGAAATTGCCTGATACCAATTAAGTATCATGACATGATGATACTGGTTAAATGCCCTGATACTTAATAGGTATTAAGTCCTGATACTTAACCGGTATCATTCTGTCCGAACGGTATTTATTGTATAGCAGTTTGGATGGTCTATCTTTTTCTCCGGTATCATTTCGTCCGAACGGTATTTATTGTATAGCAGTTTGGATGGTCTATCTTTTTCTCTAATAGAGAGCTTGAACGAGAGATTTGGGAGGTACAGTCGCCTTGATATTACTATTTGATAGGTGGTAAAATTTGGATAGGATAGATATGCTATACATGTTATTATAAGACCCTTCAAATGTAAAAATTAAAATCATATATAAAAGTAAATTTAAATGTTAATACAATGAAATTATTTTATCAAATAAAACTTAATTTGTAATAAAATATTATTGATTAAATATTTAAAAAGTTAAATTTTAGACACTTGTTAAGAGAATATTTGTAAGTTGTAACAACTGAGATGGGTTAGAATATATCCCCATATCTAATTAAAAAAATGTGACACAATGAATCGAAAATAATCTAACACCTATTCAACTTCTCCTCATAGGAGCTACAAAACACCTACAGGAAGCTGGGGTGGGGGGCACACGCCACAGCATGCCTTAGTGGGTCCACACTAGGGATGACAATTTCCCCCGCGGGGCCGAGTCCCCTGCGGGGACCCGCCCCTACGGGGGTAGGACGGGGGCGGAGGAGATTTTCGACCCACGGGTGCGTCGGGTATGGAGCCCCGCATTTGGGCGGGGAGGGGACGGGGGACTAATTTCACCCGCGGGTGACCCGTGGGGCCCGGGGGTACATATAAACCTTAAAGTATAGGTCAAAGAAAGCCAAAAAACCCATATAATAGCTAATGTAAACTTACAGCTAATTCCTTGGCTGAATTTTTATGATGATATTTAAGTATTCATGCTATTTTTGATGGTGTGTTAACTATGCACAATATTTGTTTTTGCTGAAATGATAATTGTGTTGTATTTTTTGAGCTGATTGGATAGAGATGCTACCAAATGCGGGGCCCCGGTCGGGTTTGCGGGGCCCCGCAGGGTCAGGGGCGGGTGATGTTTTCATCCCGCATCCATAGTCAGGGCCGGGGGCGGGAGGTGAAGTCGGGGGTCGGGGTCGGAGGAGTTCTAGCCCAACCCGCCCCCGTTGCCATCCCTAGTCCACGCCTAATACTCATATGAGCACGTGTATACATCGCGATCTGACTCACCAGCGTCAGCGTGATAGCGTGTACAGCGATCTTCTACTACGTATATATGTATACATGCATGATCTAGACATACGTATACTCTAGGAAGAAATTAAGGAAGAGAAGAGAGACGAAAAGTCAGAGTTGTGTGGTGCGGAGGTGTACACACGCATGTGGGCGTGCAGTGCAGACGTGGCAGTGATCCAGCATCATCCATCGATCGATATGATTAGAGGAATTTTTGTCACTATTTTCATTATTGCGACGACCCTATCCAACTGCAGACATCCATTCCCCTCCAGATTTGTGCTGTTTAGTGCATGCTCTAGTATATTCTCAATTACTAGTCTCTTCCCGTTTCTTAAAGCTTCGACATTAATGTATTCAATCATGTGAAACAAATACAAATCCTAGTTTATATATTTGGGTATACGGAGGGAGGGAGGGAGAGGGAGGGAGTTTATTTGCTTCATCCAAAAACCGACGGGCAAAATAAATTTATTTATACTACAACACTTACATACGCTCAAAGATGATAAATTTCAGCTATTTTTATTTTCTCTATCCGTACCAAAATATGCCAACTAGTAATGAATTAGATATAATAATCAAGTACGTTGTGTCTAATCCAATATTTGCTATATTTTAGTATGGTGGAAATAAATTATTGGTAAACTATTTATGCTGATTATATACTTATTATACGGATAAATTAAATATTTTAGGAAACAAAATTGAAAGAAAAGCTTAAACCAAATAGTCTAAATAATGTAAGTAAAATAATTTTTCTTTGAGAAAACATATATTTAGAGCTCTAGAGCAAATAATCTATTGCACTGACATCATGAACAAGCTTGAAAAAAAAGGCCTTAGAATTAATTAATGGTTATAACTGAATTTTGCACAAATAAAAAAAATAATTACCTCCTCTTCTTGCTTTTTTCTTAGGAAAATCTTTTACCACAAAGCATGTTCGTTTCTCATTTTCTTCACTTCTTAGCTACATTTGAATTTTGATACCTCAAACGTTAGTTTTGTTCATTTTCCATTGTCATGCCATTATGTTGGATTTTCTAAGACTCAATTGTCAGTTTTTTTTTAAAAAAAAGATGGTAATAGCGTTATTTCTATTCACATATAAGTTTGCATGATCTTTCTCCGTGTGCAAGTTATGTCCAACTAAATAAAACCCCGCACGTGGTGTTGTTTGAGTTTTGTATGATAATAGTATAAACAAATTTTAAGATAGCTAGACGATATAGCCTTAAATAATTTGCATCTTTTGATTAATCATTTAAAAAAACTAAGGTGATAATATTTCAAAAAGTAAAATTAAGGTGAGTTGGCTTCATAAAAGAAAAAACAAAAAGGAAGGAGACAATATAGATTGGTCATTCAAAAGCAAAACAAAGGTGATATTGCTTTATGAGAAAAAAAAGAAATAATTTGGATCATGTATTAATAAAAAATAAGAAATAATTTGGATAATGTATTAATCATCAAGTGCTAGAAACAGTGGGGGTGAGAGAAACGGCATCAATTATGAAGTGAATTAATTGACAGACTGAAAGACGCGTCAAGTACATAAAAACGATCAATCCACGCTTTCCTGAGAGTAGATCTGTCGATCCATAATCATAATAGAGGAAATGCCATCTTATGAAAGAATGAAGACGGAATTCACTCTAAATTACTTCTTGCGGCAATGGTTCCTAAGACCGTGGATAGTTCTTGAGGTCGATGAATGAAGCCAGGAATTTGGTGCACATGCATGTGCTGATTCGTGTTCCGATAAATGTACCACATAAAACCATCGGACGAATCAAGCCGGGATTCTAGACAAGATTCAATGTACATGGGACTGAGATCAAGTTCAGCAAGGGGACAAAATAAATCATCAGAAGCAACAGAGAACAAAATCAACATCAGTAATAGATGCCACTCTATCAAGATTGTTGTTAGTTCATGGAATACTCCTTCATACCCACGTAGAAAAAAATAAAAATGCTTGATCGTACTTAATAAGCTAGATAGGAGTATTAGATAAAAACATTTAGTAATCACTATTATGATATTTTTTGGCCCCTAAGAATTTTTTCTTTGTAATTTTGAAACCTTTAATTCCTCGACAATAATTTAATGAAATTGCAATTCTCTTGCCATTAAAAATAAA